GTCTCAAAATAAGTTCTAATCCAGAACACAAAACGCGTACTTTCCTTCCTGGAGCCAAATGTTTCCTTGTCTTTTGGGCTCTTCAGCAGTTCCGAGGTATTTTTCTTTTACAGGTCGGGAAAATTTTTGTTGATAGTTGTATACAGCGTCATAACTTTCACTACATTTTCACTTTATGGGTAAGGGTGCTGGAATTCAGTAGGACAGCTTTCAGGTATAAGGGGACGAGGCATGCTATAAAGTAACAAAACCTTGCACACCAAAATGGTATTGGATCGCACATTTCGTGTTTCACAAGTAAATGCCGGGAAGCGGGAAGTGACTGCATGTGTCTTTGTTTGTATGTACAGACAATGAAATCCTGCTCCTATAGCATACTTTCATTTGGACTGGCTGAAGTGATCTAAAAAAGAATCAACAGTAAGCTGGCTCGCGCGACTGTGTGCATGCGTGCCATCAGGAATTCTCGACAGCTCATGTATTCTTATGCTGGTCATTCAACCGAAAAACGTTCACGACCACGCTGTCGTTGCTAAAAAAATTAAATGAGAAAAATGCAATGCTTTGTTTTAGCCACAAACTGAAAGGAAAGCATGAGGTGTGGGAATTTCGGTTTCAAGTCGACGAGAAGATACGATGTCTTCTGGGCTGTAGCACCGTATATTCTGACAGATATTGGCATATATTTTATAGGAACATATGTCTCCATCATCGGGGTGATGAGTAAGAAGAGCGTGGAAATGTTGTGGTAGATATACAAGTCTGTTGGTTGGACACGGCAAGAGTCCTGGCCGGACCAATGGCAGAAGAGAAAACCGCAGTGTAGGCACAGCAGAAGTAACGGAGAGGGGGAGGAAATATAGATACAAATTCAAAGCTGGGATAGAACTCCAGTAAGAAAACTAAATTAAATGGAAATATCAAGGGAATAAACATAACAAAAGCCCGAAATGCAACGGGCGGGTAGCTATGACACGGGCGGACATGGAGAGTGAGAGCGGTAACATTGAAAATTACACATTGCATTTAGTTAAATGAAGGATAAACATAAGACAAGGGAAATATCTAAACATCCAAACGTGTCATATTTGTCCCGGGCGAACTGCACAATGACGTTTGGTGCAGTATTATTTGCATATGACGAATTTTCTTAACGACGACTTTTTCCGAAAGAAAACATACATGGAACAGCTTTTAATCAATTTATTTCAACTCAATTTCTCGATGTTATGTGTTGAAGTGGCAGTCTTAATTGATCGATTAGACCTACGGAACTTTGATACAGAATTTATTCAAAATCTGCGGAAACATTATCATATGCGCATAACGTGTAGCGTCGACGTAAAAATTCCTGGAGTTCATAAACTGGATGTTAAGCGTCTCATAATTCCCTGCCATATGAATCCTAAGCTCATCTAAATAATACTTAAAAAATCAGTCCCTACTTTTGAGAAAAAAACACGTCTCCATTTCAACATCAACTGACCAATGCCGTTTAGGGAAATAATCTATACTTATTCTGACAATTATAAGCACTCTATCCCTTACCAGACATTACATTTACTTAATTAGCTGCCCCTCTAATCACCCCCAGATATTATTTCTGCTGGGAACTTGACATATGGCCATGATTCCTATCGCTGCCCGATTCTCTGCTGTTTTTTATCCTTTCCTTCCAAAACAGCGCTGACGAATTCAACTGAACGGAGTTCCCTTCTGTTTCCCAAAGAGTAACATTTCCCACTAAAAGGAACTGAAAGGTTCTCCCAACTTGTCTTGAGAACAAAACAACGGCGTAAATACGCAGCAAATTTAAAAATCGGGTCAATTCTAAAGGGGTCCGACGATGGATTTTTGAATTTACTGCTTTCAATGACATATGAAACGTTGGTCAATTACTACAAGACCACACCGCAACAACTCAGAAAACAAGTCATCTTCATTCTCACCGTCGTGAGAACCAAAATTCTCCCTTCTTCTTCTTCTTCTTCACTTAATTCAGACAGCACGAAGACAAAGAGTGACAGTCACTCCTGCACAGTAGTGTGAATTTTAAAATTTGCGGCCATTCACAGAAAGTGCTCATTATAGAATAATTTACTAAAATATCTACCCTAATGTCCGTGGGAAGCAACTGGCAAATAAGAAACTTCTCAAAATAATTTTAAGCTTCCTGAGCCTTGCATACTTAAGCTTAAGTTGTATGACTACAAATGAAGGGACCTAGAATAATGCATTCGAAAATTACTGGAGAGACGTTTATCCACTTACACTTTAAGCCGGTTACTACTTAATGTAATTTTCTGCAAACTCTACCAATTATGCAATTGACACATTCGTACGCACCCACTCATTTTGTAGTTGACGCTTGAGTGTGCACCGGGTATAGGCTGGGAAGCCTGAGGGGAAGAGACCACTGGGGAGACCTTGACGTAGATGGGAGGATAATGTCAGACGGGATATATGGGAGATAGGAGTTGAAGGAAACTGGATTTTGTTGGCCCAGGGCTTTGGTTAGTTCGGTGATGAACCTTCGGGTTCCATAAGCCATCTAGTTAGTTAATTGAATAAAAATTTTCTTGGATATTATCCATCGTCTAGTAAATATAAAACGTAAAAC